AGCGACCTGAGAGAAATTGGGGGTACACAATATCGAACGACCTGACCAGTAAGGAACTCAAATCCTTCATAAGCCAAAATCGATTTAATACTTTCGCGGCATAAACTATACAAAAAATATGAACACACTGTCAAGCGCTTCTTAAAATGATGATCTATATGTTGGACAAAGAACGGTGTTTAATAAAATAACCACAACTACTTAATGATTGGCTGAGTACCAAAACATTGTGGATTATATTTATAATATAATAGACAATCAAGAGAACAATAAAAAAATCTTTTCTTATTGCGCATTGTGCAACCTGCTACAATGGTTCAATTTTTAAGACAATATAATGATTTTTATAATTTTATAGGCATTGTTTCCTCTGATTTGGTAGAAGTTATTGTATAGACATGCCGTTTAATTAGAACAATGGCCTGTAAAAAACCAGATATAATTCGAAGGTTCAGTAAATACAGTCTAATATTGTATTCTCCTGAAGAGACAAAATCCATGTTACTTTTGATTAATTCAGTTTTGCTTGATATTCTTCAATGACGCTCATTCATTAAATTTAAAGTTATTAATGATCCAAGTATAAAAAACAATTTTGACGAATATTCTATATAAATATTTATTTTAATAAAAATTCTTAATTAATAATAAGCAATATTTAGTAAACATGTCAAAATGTCTTGTTATAATTAATAAAATTCATATATTTATCTCTTTTTTACAAAAAGTTAAATATTTATTTCGAATTCGATTTAAAACATCAGTTTTATCAACATTTTATAATAATAAAGCTAAAGTTCAGTTTCATAAATGATTTTACTACACAAGTTTAATTCTTAAATAAAATAATTCAATTAAGCCAAAAATAATTAATATAAAATTATAAGTAACCAAATCTAAGATATGGTTACATGCTCAAAAATAAGCCCATACTTATATTTAACTCTTAATTCTCCACTTTTTTGTACTGTTCATAATGAAGATCATCTAGGAAAATTTCTCTTGAATTGTCTTTTACTCTCTAAAAATAGAGCTGTGCAAGATGTGTGATCAATTCTTTATCTTTTCATAATAATCATACTCTCTCTTTTAATATCATATTACAGTCTCAATCTTTAATAGTAATTTATTTTACTATTTTCTTTGTCCAAGGCGTATATAACTATTTAAATGGATCTATTTATTATTCATTATTTATAATAGTAATTATTATATTACACATTTATTATATATTAAATTACACCTCAACAGCTGAGGTGTAATATTTGTAAAAATAAAATCTCAATAAATGAAAAAAAAAAGAAACAAGTACAAAAATTTAAACAAAATCAGTAATATCAATCATAAAATTATTCATTTTGAAATGAATTCGAAAAAGACAAACATACTATTTATTATTTTTGTAAACAAAAATTTTCCTTCATTTTTCTCAAATTTTTTTATGATTTTAAAATTTTATTAGAAATAAAATATATTTATAAAATTCAGTGGTTCAATAATTTTTATAAGTGAATGTTTATGTTATGTTAATATATTGCTTCTATATTATAATAAATATTTAAAAATTACATGTTTTCTAAATTAATTGTCCGATTTTGTTTTTTTGAGCAAATTCTTTTAACTATACTATAAAGTAATTTTAGAAACTTTGAAATAATTTATTTATTTATTTATGTCTTTCACGTCTAATGATATATAATCTTATAATCACAATAATCATACCGTAAATAAAAAAAAAACTAATAGCGAATCATTTGAATTTAGTGATTAAGATTTAATAAAATTAAGGTAAAAACCACTTGCATTAATTTTATTTTATCTCAAATTTGATTAATCATTTCCATCGATATTGAAATGTGTTGAGATTTTAAATACTCGAGACGTAACTGATAGATAAGAAAACGTTATTAACTTGAAACATATTTAAAACAGGTGGTAAAAAAATTCATGACAAAAAATTATTCAATGCAATTAATGTAAGTTCAGTAGTTTTCACAATAGAGCTGTGATTTGTTGTTCAGGTGATGAAACTCTAAAAAAAAAAACGTGTGCCCTTCGTTTTTTATTCTAATCTCCTACAACAATAGCAAACAAGATGCACTCAGACCCAACCCAACAGAGTACAGATGACCGGAAGAAAATGTTGACACGCGTACATGGCATAAAACGGCTGCCCCAACAAAGACAACGTCATCTGGTCACCTGCGGGTACTTACGCTACTACTAAAGTACTGTACGATATAAAATCAATAATTAATGCTATCCAGGTAAACGGGTGACTTACGTATAAACCGGTTTCACCCTGTAAGTAGTTTTTAGTGTATTTATATACTCATTTTCTTGTACACCTGGCGTGTGTTTCAATCATTTACTGATGTTACCACATGTGTTAAAAAAGTGCCATTTTCGCTTATATGCACATCCATATACATGCACTTATCGAGGTTCTTTGGTGACCCAAACCATATGGGGAGCCGAGACAAACCTAATTAATCTACCAATGGGTGTCATAAGACGATTTGTGATTCTTGTGCCCGAGACGATTCTGACGGTTTTTAAAAATAGTGCGGTCGACGACATCAACATGTGACGTATGCCAATGAAAACACAAATGCAGTGTGGTACTGTGTCCCCCGTGAAAAATACACTAGTATTATACGTTTTAAGTATATTTCGCTATGATGTTACTCCCTAGTCCCGTGATTATTAATAGAGATGGCAGTTAGTTACAGTCAATTATACATTGTACATAAGTACATGGAAGCTATAGAGAATCATAAATACAACGTTAAGAGTGAAATTGTGTGTTGTATTTTTATCACATATTAATACAATAATCATTAGTATACAATAAATAGAAAATATCTTTATTGTATACGTTATATACAGTTTACAGGTAATTAAGTTTGTAGTAATCTACAAAAAAGAAAAAAAAACATTACAAATCAATATCTCGTTTATCCCTAGATATACAAGAGATTAACTTAAGTCGATGGAAAGTATGATCAAATCATATTTAAAACACAAATAATAATGAATCATTTAATGTGTATACTCAGCGATTTTATATTATTTCTTTCGAAAACGAATAAATATAATTTAGTGTAAGCATTTTTTTTTTTTAGCATCTCTTTGATTTGACCCAAGATATCATAAAAAAGTATTTTTAAGAAAAGAATACTTTTATTATTACTAAAGATAGCTTATTAGGCTTACGTATACAGTTATACAGTAAAAGTTAAACAGTTAATTTATAAGTTTTTGATAATGAATGCTTAATAAAATTTTCAGTAAAAACCTGAAAATTTATATATAACATTTTGTTTTGAAATCATATTTAAGTAATATTTAATTTGAAGTTGTCAATGACTTTAGTTTTACAACTTAAGAAATATTTTATTGATATTTTCCACTAATATAATATGAAGAGAGACTTAAAATAATGATTGTGTCTTTTTAATATTTCATAATAAATATTTTTTAAAACCAAATTATTTATAATCAAATATTTATTGTATACTTATATAACCATTAAAAGTTTTTCGCGTACATAACTAATGATTGAACTACTTAGTTATAATGAATTTTCATTACTATATTTTAATAAAGATATGAAGCTCAGGTAAATTTCAATGGCTCTAATTATTTATTAATTTAAAAAAAATTATAAGTAGCACTAAATTTTTATAAAAATCATTATATTCAAATAATTTGAGTCGAAATTGTTTAAAAATATTAAACACGTTTTACTAATTTACATGTTTATCGACAGTAACAGAATTGTACAAGAGACAGCTAAGTACTTTAAACTTAACTTCTCAAAAAAGTTTTTATCTTTTATACTTATTTGACGCAAGTAAAGAAGTTTCTTTAGATTGTGATAAAACTTTTATACAATTTTAAGTTTTGATAAATAATCTAAAGTTAGGTAAGAAGTTCAACATTTAATAAATTCAACAATTTGATAAATGCACATTCCAAACACAATGACTGCTATTATCGTTGTTAATACTAAATTAAATTCTCATACAAAACCTAATAATTTCTGTTTAGCTACTGTGTTCTATAAAATTCATGAATTAAATATTTTATTGTTAATTTAATATGAAATCATATGTTAGAAATGGAACTCTATAATTTTAATTCTTTAACGTTTCGAAATAGTGTTGTAAAATTAAAAACAAAAAATACACATATTCTTCAGTTTCAATATTTATAAATTTGAATTCTTAAGGTTTCAGGAACTTTTCTTCCCTCAAAATGTATGTGAAACACAGAGTACCAGATTTTCAGCTGATGCTGTTTTCTGAATCACAGATGTATAATATTACAAAAACGAATGCCTAAGTACAGCTAACAAAGAAGGAAAGGATTAAAAAATAGTTTTTGTAAATGAAAATATACTAAAATGAACTACCAGCTGTTACTAACAATTGAAAAGATGGAACATGTGATGAAATAAAAGCAGGGTCGCAAGATGCAGCATGTTGTTTGGGGTAAAATGAGCAAGAAGACGACAATTTTTAAAATTAACGTTCTTCGCAATATTTCTTTACAATGGTATACGAAAAAAATATTTTGACTGCTATGAGTGTAATGTTTATAAATTAAATTTAGCAATTAAAATAATTTATTCTAAGAAGCCATCCATTAATATTCGACAGTTACCAATGGTAATTAAGGTTTTAATTGATTTTAAAGGTTAGCTGTAATATTCTAGTCTTCGAAAAATCTGAGACAAGGAAGATTAAAAACTAAAAATGATTAATTTCTCTATGCTTTATGGTTATTCAATTTTAATACAACTAATATGTTTCTGTTTCTAATTATCAATTATGAGTCATAACAGAAAACGACCATTCTAAATAGATATGACACATAACAGTTTCCGGTCCCCAAAATTTAACAAATAATAGTACTGAACTACCGGACTTCTATATTATTGATACATATATGAAAGAAAAAAATAATTTTAGAAGTAATAAAATAAATTAACTTACAAATAAATAAATATCTGGTAGTAAGCAATTGAATCTTTGTACAAACGACGATATTTCCATCAAGGAGTTGTACAAGAAAATTCACAGCTATCCTTATAAAACTGAGTATTCATTATTCGTCAGGATAATTTTAAAAAAATGAACTACGTTACCGGCAAAAGACAACGAGACCGTACCAAACGCACTTCACAACTGTAATAACGATAACAGGCGGTGATGGTGACGGTTATATTTTGATTGTTATAGTGACCAACTGAGAGCGCCACATCACTACTATAATTATTCTTTCTTGTCGAATGTTTTTCTAATATATATACCAATAGATTGTACTCGTAGTATTTATATTTCCAAAAGAGTTTATGTATATTTGAACTAATTTAAAAATTTATTTAGGCATTCTTCTAAGAAGAGGATTTCACAATACCTTCAATAACGGTAGGAATAATAACGATTTTTTTATCAAAACTTACTAAATAAAAGTAACGAGAAAAAAATGTATGATGTATTTAGCCAACTGGGTCCAGGGTCACGAAAAGCACTTCGTTTGAATATCTATTTATCTATATAATATCTATTTGTATTAATAAATAATTATTAAAAAAATACGAAATTTATTACAGAAAATTCTCATTTATAAAAAATCTATAAACTATTTGAAATTGTAAATTAACGTAAAAATCCATAATTATTTCAAAAACAATTTTGAAAAGTTATTTTTTATAAATTGAAAAATTATGAAAAAATGTTTAAATTATTTTATATTCAAAGTTATTTAACGTTCAATTTATCTAAAATAAAAATAATTTAAATCTATAAACCTTAAGCTATTGTGCATTATATAGATGTAAGGTAGTAAAATTATAAGATGGCTAAATCTCATATTTCTCATTCTAAAAAACTATAAAATATAAAGTATACATATGAATTCTTAAGGAAGTTTGGCTCTCTCAAGTTTCCACCTTACACCTATGACAATTAAAATAAATTAAACTAACAAAACTTGGTTTTTAATAATACAATTTAGAAAATACTAAGCTAAATTGATTAAATTATTAAACGTATAAATATAAGTTTCACTATATTATAATATGATTTGAATATTGACTTCAAGCGGGTGAAATTAAAGACATACATTTTTATTTTATTTTAAGAACTAACTCAAACAGTGTAAAATACAATTTCAAATATTAATCCTCGACGTTTTATTGATAAAAAACAATCTTCTTAACTTTATCTAGTTATAAATGTAAAAAGCAATAAGTTTAGCTTATAACTATTAATCAATTTTATTTATTAAAATAATGACATGAAGAAATTTTTTTTTTTTAATCAACTTAGTTGTTGAAATGAATTAGGCATATTTATGAAATTAAAACAAAGCGTTTTAAAAATTTTAAGGGGGAGCAATTTTTAGATTAAATAAGTTTAGGTCGATTTATAATCAAAAAATTGAGCCCAAAATACATAATTTATAAGTTTTGAACCATATTTTTAATTTTAAAGACAAAAATATACCTATTTTTGTCTGTAATTAACTAATTTTTTTACAAATTATTTATTACTTTAAAAACTAAATTAATGGCAAAAATCTAATTGCATATTTGAAATTAAAAGTAAAAATTGGTTTAGGAAAATATATTTTCGTCTCTGATGAAAATTGCTAATTGACCAGTATTATTAGTGAGAGGTACATACCAAAATATCTTCTGCGTTATTTTGGTGTTATAAACTTTATGGATTTTTTGACACTTTTCTAATGATTTTCAGGGAACTTGATATAAGTAACATAAATTTTAACTATTGAAGGTATTTAAATAAATTTAGATTGATTTCGAAGAATTGGCTACATCGTCTTGCATGACACGTGCACATCTAATCAGCCCCGTCTGCAAAAACATCAAGTTATATTACATCTATATGTATATAATAAATTTAACTAAAACGTGTCTTATTGATGCTTTTGTTTAACTTGTTTAAAACAAATTAAAGCTTAATTGAAATTGTATACAGAGTTAATGTGAGCACTTTAATCGATTTATAAAGATATTCTAGTCTCTCTCAAATGATGTTTCTATCTAAATAAATATAATAAATTTAAAATTAGAGAGTTGAAAACAAAACATTAACAGGTTAAAAAATATTCATACAATTATTTAAGTTGAGGAAATTAAAATTTTTAAATTTTAAAAAATATATCGAAAATTTTGTTATGGTAATGGATGATATTTTTTCATTAAAACATATGCTAATAGAATATAAAGACCAGAGGCAGCAAAAGCAATATTAATTCTTATGGTTAAGGCTTTTATTAGGGGTCTAAAATATATATGTTTTATAGAAATGCTTTATAATTAAAATAACAAGCAATGATTGTCCAACACATTTTTAAAGAGAGTGTGGGCTTTATATCAATTTTTGTTGATTTGGGACAGAAAAGTTTACTATAATGCGTCTTTAAATACTAATACAATATCTTAATTTTTTTTTTTAACATAATGCCTAAATATTTTAAACTTGTAAAATACTTAAGAATATAAATTATTCTTTTTTATGAGGATGTCTGGTCATTGAATATTCAAAGTTCAAATAGAAAATGTATAATGTACGCGTGTAAAGCACACACGTGCTATTTTAGACAACTTGTTTCCTTGACGACCTCAACAACGTTGCGACGACGCTAAACTAATTCGCTAACACTTGTACTTGCACTTCTATGTATTCTGATAGTCGTTCACCATCTCGCGATGGGTACGTTTCGCACATGCATCTTCTTACTAATTTGGATACACGGAATCATCAGTAGAATAGGTCAGTGAAATTTTTTTACTCTGTATTTTATTTTTTATCTAAAATAACAAAAAAAAATCATATAAAATAAAACGTTAAATGATTTGCTTGACATAGGGAATTACAATTAAATGTGTTGCAAACATTAGAGTTCACAGGATTTTTTCAGAAGAGGATATCACGACGTAAATGAGTTAATGATCATTTTTTTAAATCAAATATTATTGATAAAAATGATAATAATAATATTATAAATTTGATAAGTATATAATTTTTTTAATATGTTTGGCAAATGTACAAATTTGACAACATTTTTTTATTATTTGAAAACAGACTTTTACCAATCATAAAAAGTTATCAAAGTAATTAATAGCATCTATTTAAGGGTATGTCAAAACAATCTATCACCCTCCTTCAATATTGCTATAATTAGAAATATTTTGATCAAATTTATAAAGAAATTCAAGCTTACAGCATTAAATTTAAATTGCACACGTTTTTATGTATATTATACATTAATTATAATTAAAGTAGTCAGTAAAAAAAATAGAATAATTTTTTTTTATGAGACAGTTAAAGCTAGTTTATCTAGTGACTAGCTGCCGAACTCTTTTAAATAAAAGCACTCCTCTTTTATTTTTATAAATTGATTCGATTCTACACAAAATCGTTTAGAAACATTTCCCACGCAATAACTGTTTCAAACACGCTAAAGAACCTCAAAGACTATTTTCTTTAAAAATAAAACCTTTTAATCAAAAAATAAATTGAACTGCCGCATGAGTTTGCAAGGTATATCGAAAACATATTAACGTTCTTTATGGTGGTATACAGGTGGTAAAAACGAATATGTTAAGTTAAACAATTTATACAATACGTTACGATAAACAAATGAAGTGAAACATCTAAAATAAAGTAGTGCACGTCAAAGGTGAATATCCAAAGGTGTTATTAAAGAAACAGTGCTCGTCACGAACCACTCATTTCAACTTTAAATTTTAATAACTACACCTCATTAAGTAGTACTTGGAAGGCTGAAAGTGCTTTAATATTTTCCAACAAAATATGAAACTAGTAAATTAAAAGTTCATTTTTTTGTTCAACAGACATAAACAATCAATCCCATCCTCATAACATTGATATTAGATAAAATACATAACCGATCTGTTTTTCAATAATAAATGTAACGGTTATTCTTCAATACTGTACAAGGCGCAAAAAAAACTGAAAACCCAACAAAACTAAATTTTTGAGTCATTATACTAAAAAAGATTATTATTTTTAATATTTTAGCTTCAATAGGAAGCTGATATGGTATTAATTTTATTTTGATGTATTTGTAGCTGTCAACACTTTTTCTTAGTGTCACTGGACTGATTTAACTAAATGATACATTAAAAGATCATAAATCGTATCTAGTTGAAGTTATTACTTTTAAAAATTGAAAACATTTCCCGTAAATGGTGAAAATACTCAAAAAAATACGATTTCTGAAATACTATACTGTAAATTAAAAAAAAAAGATTTGTCCCTACGATTTGTGTTAAATGTGCAAATGGCCTCAGAAGTTTTTTACAGTTTTTAATGCCAATCTAATGAGTCTATTAAAAAAAAGGCTACTCTTACCAAAACAAATTGTTTAAGTAACCAATAGCTTATAATATTGCTATTTGATTTTCATAACTGAGATAATAATTAACTATAGAAGATCAGAATAATCAAGTTAAGAAAATTAATTTTCTTTTTTCGAAAAATACATGTTAACAATTATGATACACGTTTGCCATTGAGATGACAAAATATATAATAACTTTAACTTATCTCCTTAAGAATTAAAATATTAAATTATTGAATATTAATTTTATACTAAAATTTCGTTTAATTATATTATGTTAAATATCATTTTGAAATTACTACTCTCATAAATATGTTTCAATTAATAAATTATCGGATATTTGTAGTAATAACATAGGATTACAGTAATTTCACAGTCAACAATATTTAGGTGAATTGTCAGTGGAATCTTGACACTAATTCTGAATCTAGCTTCAGATTTTTTTCATTCAAATCTATCAATTTATAGAGTCGGCTGGTGATAAGACCCGGATATTGTCTTTTTCTATCACTAGTCATTTCCCGGCCGTACTCTTCCTCCTGCTTAGTTATAAATATGTCAATAACATACGAGATACTGATCCAAAAGTTGTTATTATGCAGTCATTTTCTTAATTAGATCATTATCTATTAAATATAAAAGTTAATTATGTATGATGCCATTACAAAAATAAAGTAGACACCCATGTAAGGTATAAGGGATGAACATAAAAAATACTTTATAATTCATAAATTAAAAAAAAAAAAAAAAATGTACCTATAAACGAAATATAAAAATC